TACCATTCATTAACCTTTTGTAGAAGTTGATGAAATGCTTTGTCAAAAAGCCCCTTAATCACATTGTTTTTTACTAAAAGTGAACGACGACTCCACTGTCAATCAAAAAATTTATTAATCTAACAGACACCCTGACTTGTTTTAAAAGATAGAAATTAACGTGAGATTGCACAAGTCATGTGTTTTTATATCATATAAGATTCTAATTGAAATCACAATAATCGTAGTTTTAACCAACAACTGAAAAGTAGTAGCAAGTCTCTCCAACTTGGTGTCACATTTTCGTCTCACATTGAAGATGGATCATTTTAGTATTTGTATTTAACCTTTGCTACCTTCATGATTCCACTTCTATCCAAATTACCGTTTAATAGCACACGAATAAGGTAAATTTCATGACTAATTTGAGGTCATTGAACTTTTAGTGAAATCTCATTTGGGTCACTGAACTTTAATTTGTATCGAGTCACTAAACTTCAATTTAGTTTCAAATTGGATCATCATATTTCACCCCTTGCATTCAAAATGGAGCATTGTATACAGATTAGGCAATGTTTAACTTCATGTAGTCACCAAATCGATTACAAACAGGCTAACTTACTTGGAAGCATTCGGGTAACGAAGAGATCAACCATGAGACGGGTTCCTTTCCCTTGCCGAAAAATCTGGCAAAGCTTTTATAATGAAACATTACTCTGGTGACGTACATCCAGGATGGTAAGGGTCCGTAGATTCGTGAGATTTCCAGCATTTCTACAGAGCTTTAAATCCATCAATATTCATCCCACAGTAAAAAGAGTTGAATCGATTTTGATGCCTCTTTTATTGCGTGCTCATGTAACAAAGACAATGTTCTCATTGCTTCTCCTATTCTCTATCATAGAATTCCAGTTACATGTTGTCTGCTAAATTTCCAGTATCCTTATTCTGACACAACTCGTCCAAGTCTGAAATGGCTTCCCCTGTGTCACGATATGGAGCAAATTACCTCAGTTAAATTACCGCACTTGAATAATGGACAAGACACAAGAAAATAATGAGTATCAGTTGTAAAGACTATAGTAGCGTATTATTCACGTCAGCACAGCACTGGATAGGGGTTTACCGTGCATTCTTCGAACAAAACGTTCAAACTCTATGAAGTTGCATCTCTCCATGAGGTCTGGACTGAGCCTAAGGTATGTAAAGGCCGATAAATGTCTTCCATCTGGATCATTGAAAGGCTTGGCATTTTCTAGTATCTTGTTATAGCCTTCTCTGTCATAACAAGGAAGGGCATTCTCGCTGGCAACTGGTATGCTAACATCCCATGCAGCATTCAGCACCTAACACATTTGCACAAATATTTTCAACGATCCGACCGCTCTCCAAAAGTTAATCTTTTAGTGCCATGGATGGGGTAGTCATCCACTCTTTTTCGTTTGGCAATGAAAAAGTTTGGTCTTTAAGCAAGAACAAAGTGATTGTTTATAACCCTAGGCTGAAGTGCCTACTTTTTTTAATTATAATGCGCAGAGGCGTGCAGTAAAATGCATACCTGCCAAACTAACCCCTCAGGATCTGCTAGTGCCTCTGGAAAGTCCTCATACTGATCGAGTGTACGCAACTCAACACAAGTAAAGTTTAGAGCAGCCTCATGCTTCTTTAACATTGATGCAATTGGAGCGTAGCCATCACGATTGCAAGGATTATAGAAGCCTGCAGTTAGCTCAGCAGCATGGCTTGCTGTCTTGTACCACCAGTGGATACCTGATAACTGTTCCCGCATGAAAATATATCAAGTGAAAATTATAGTAAAGAAGAAACAATATTTCACTTCAAACTTCACTGTGTCCAAGATAATAACTTTTGCTGAACAAATATGAATCTGAGAAGTTCACTCACCTTAGCAGCAACTGGAGTACCTTCAAAGGCCAAATTTGCTAGGGCAAGTACCCGATCCCCATGATCAACTAGAACTCGAGAGTACCAGTTTAAGAAAAATCTTCCATAATAGCTATCATAATCACCTCCATCACAAAAGAACCTTGTTTCATGTGGTTTATCATTATAGGAACCTGCATTATCGGGTCCTCTACCCCAAAAGGCGTGGCCCCTAACTTCTGCTGCCTTCTCCAAGCTCTTCATCAAGTACTTATCATAGCACTATGTGATAGGAAAAAAGAGCAAGGTTTCCATAAATGTAAATTCTGAGGGCGGTGAATACATTATTAACAGAGTTAGAAGATTATGTTCAAAATAGATAGCTCATAAATACTTCAGAATATGAACAAATGTAGATTCTAAAGAAATAACTATAAGATCAGAAATGTACACTACCTCTGGCTGAAAAATAGAGTCAATGCATAATAAAAGGTTACCTGAAATTCACCAATACCAGAATATCTCCAACCATGTTTAGCAGGATAAGATGGATATCGTAACTCCCCACATGGTCCCAGACCAATTTCAATCTCAGAAATAACACCGTCCTCAAAGAATTCATCAAATTCTACACGAAAGCTTCTCATGTAGTCAAAGTAAACCTACATTAAATTAACAAAAATTAATACACAAAGATTAAGAGTTTCAAAACAAAAATAAAAGCATTTAAGAAAACCTCATGGAAGAACCTCCATCTAAAATTTCTAGAGATAATTGACAACCTTTATGCATAAACGCAAAATGTATAGCCAAGTGAAAGTAGATGTCATTGCCCGTGAAATTG